GTAATCCACCAGCTGCTTCTGCACCAGTGGGTGGGCGACCTGCAGGGCCACAGGGGGGTCAGGCAGCCTTCTATGGTGCTGGGAGCCCCTCACAGCTCCTCRCAGCCCCTCAGCCCCACCTGGATGACGGCATTGCAGAACTCAAGTGAGTTCATGAAGAGGACAAGGGAGGAGACACCGATCCAGTCCTCACGCCGCAGGAAGTGCCAGTCATCTCCCCGCACCTCGATCTTGCGTGGCAGGGAGGAGTACAGGGCGCTCAAGCCCGTGGCCAGCACCTGGGAACACATGTACTTGGCTGCCCCGCAGTCCCCGGCCTTCCCCAAACCCCAGGAACCTGCCCCCCACAGGAACCTGCCCCACTCCTGCCTGGCTCCAGGCTGGGCTAGGCCCTGCATCTACCACTGACACCAGGGAGTGGTCCCCTCACCCCCAGCCCAACACTGGGCCCCCCATCATCTCCAAGCTTCTCATCACCACCAAGTCCCCCCCATCATCACCAGGCCCCTCGTCCCCAGGCTCTCCATCTTCTCCAGGCCACTCTGTGACCTCCAACCCCCCATCACTTGCAGACCTACCATCATCCCCAGATCCCCCATCATCTCCAAGCCCTCTATCCCAAAGCTCTCCATCATTTGCAAGCTCTCCATCGCCATGCTCCCATCCTTCCCAAGTCCCCCATAATCTCCAGCCCCACCCCCCACCATCCCCACAACAGGGTAGGACTTCTCCCTCCAGGCCTGTCCATTGCTCTTGCCCCAGTGTCCCAATCCAAGCTTGCACCAGCAGTGCAGGGTCCCAGCACTGTCCCACGGAGGGGACATCACCCCAGGGATGGGGACATTGCACCGAGGAGGGGGATGCCACACTGGGAATCCATACCGGGCAGAAGTAGGAGTTGTCAGTGATGGACTGAGCCACGGCGCGGTTGCTGGCTGACATGGCCATGATGAGCAGCAGCGCATCACGTGCCTGCTGGCCCCGCGTGCCCTCATGGTGGATGAAGGGGATGAGGAGGGAGAAGATGATGAGGTTGGCAGGGCCCTGGTCCGTGTGGCTGTGGAAGAAGAGCTCCAGGATGGCTGGCTCACGGGCCACGGAGACGCAGAGCTGGTTGAGCAGCAGCACCAAGCTGTTCTCGAGCGGGGCCGAGGCGGGCTCGGTGCAGACACTAAGCAGGCGCAGCAGCGGCGTCAGCACCGGCTTGTGCCGCAGCAGGGGCTGCCGGGCCTGGCTGATCAGCATCTCATACAGCTTCAGCTGCTCTACCTGGGAACAGTGACAGGGTGCGAATGGTACAGAGGCCACCCAGTCCAGCTGCTCCCCCAGTGCCACCCAGCCCACTGAACCATGCGTCACAGTGCCACCTCCACATGGCTGTGGAATTCCCCCAGGGCTGGGGATTCCAGCACTGCACTGAGCCACCTGGGACAGAGATGGACAGCTATTTCCGTGAGGAATTTCCCCCAACATCATAAAGTTTTAGGATGACTCGGGTTGGAAGCAACCTTAAACCCATGTAGTCTCAACCCCAATCCAATCTGAACATGACCTAGGGCAGCACCCAACCTTTGGCCTGGCTGACCCTCAACCCACCACCTTCACCCCTTGGATCCAGCCTGTCCCAACCCCCCCAGAGATACCCCAACCCTGCAAGACCCCTCTGCTCCCTCCACTCAGACCTTCCTCTCCTCGGTGAAGTCACCCTGCAGGTGCCAGCACAGGAGCCGTTCCAGCAGGTTCTCCGCAGCCACAAACTCCAGGATGGGCCCACAGGCCATGTCCCCGTCCCCCTGTGACTTGTCCCTGTCCCCGTCCCCCCGGGGCCGGTCCTCAGCCAGCAGGTTCAGCATCTGATAGGTGTTGTTGCGGACAGCGCTGAGGTCATCAGGGGCTGGTTTGCTCCCACGCCGCTCCAGGATCCGCAGCACCTGAGGGAGGGGGCTCAGCAGTGGGGCTGGGGGCTGGAGGGTTGGGGGAGGTCCTGCTGCTCCCCCACCCCACTCACCTGTGCCCAGTGGTTCTTGAAGACCATGAGGCAGGTCTCGGGGTCAGCAGTGACTGGGGGCTGCAGGCTGGCACTGCGGGGGGCTCGCTGCCCGCCTGCCCGTGGGGTCAGCTTGCTCAGCCAGCTCATCCTCTCCATCGGCATGGGGGGCACGGGGATCACGGACAGCACAGGGGCACCCCAACCGGTCTGGTTGCAGCCTGGCACCACCGCGGGGGCACAGGGGAGCAGGCGGGATGCCAGGGTCCTTTCTCCATGCTGCTGCCAGMGGCTGTGCTGCAGGGAGAGGGACCATCAGAGCCCTGGCCCAACCTCATACCCGGCAGCAGGGAGGGAGGGAGAAGGGAAAGCAAGGGGGAAGCCAGAAGGAAAGAAAGTCAGGAGGAAAGGAAAGCAAGCAGGGGAAAAAGCAGGCAGGAGCACCAGAGCACAGGGAACTGGGCCGGGTGAGCATACTGGAGCAGTGGTGGCTGGAGGACTCTGGATGCCAGCCCTGCTCACACCCAGTACTGGACTTTAAACCAGGAACTGGCTCAGCATGGATGTGGGGAGCAACCAGCAGGGACACTCGGACAGCTGGGACAGCTGCCCGCTCCCATGCTCAGCAGCACCCATGGCCAGTGCAGCACAACAGCACTGCTAGGATATTTATAGGGTCCTGTGTCCCAGAACCACCACTGCCACCACAGCCATCAGCACGGGACTGAGCACTAAGAGGCCCCAGAGACGGCAGCACTGGTGTGCCTGGGGACACAGACACATCRCAGGAGCCCCCCAGCCTCCCACCAGCACGTGAGAAGAGCAATGGCCTTGACAGCCAGTGCCACAGCCCTGGCATGTGGCAAGGGGAAGTGAAAGCACCATTAAAGACACCCCAAACCGCAGGGGCAGGAATGGAAAGTGGCTGAAGCTGGGGCAGCCAAACACAGCACGGGCAGGGCCTGTCTATTTATACCCAGCACAGCCTGTCCCACCCAAAGCCAGGGCTCGTGTTGCTGCTAAAGTTAGACCCACTGAATGCCAGGGCAGTGCCAGCCCCAGAACCTGGCTCTGTGGCCCCAGAGGGAACACTAAGGCAAAGACCACAATGTGGCACACCAGGGACACCCCTGTTGAAGGGATCTTCTGACACATGGTCAGAGCCATGCTGGTAGGACAGGGACACTGGCTGTCACYAGCTCTATCCTGACACCAAAGCCCCCACATCCAAACCTGGCCGTGCCTGCCACACACCAAAGGACCCAGCCACTGGGGCACAGCACGGGGCCATGGCACCCCACCAGCAGCACCTTAGTGTCACTCAGATGGGCTGGAGTGGGGGAACAGCCTCCACCCAGGTAGCCAAACCACTAAGGGGTAATCAGGTGCTAGTGGAGCAAAAGGRAAAGGGACATTGCAAGCAGGGACACTGAGGGCACAGGATGGCAGCCAGGTGCCACCAGGGCAGGGACACGGACACCGGGGGCAGAGAGTGGCACCCAGTGCCACGAAGTTGTGGGTGATCAGCACCAGCCCCTCCGATCAGCACTAGCATCCGGGAAACGGAGAACACTGGGAGGGTCACCGGGAGTCGCCAGGGGGTTCGCCTGTGATCCGGGTGAGGCCGAAGGCTGCCCCACGGCGAGGGGCTGTCACAMCCCAGGGCTGCCCTCCACGCCGGGGCCGCGATCCCCCAGTGCGCGGGAGGTGCTGCTCACCGGGGCATCCTCAAACCCATGGAGACACCGGGACCGGGACGCCCTAAGGCTCCGGGGTCACGCATAACCGGGGCCGGGCCGCCTACCTGGGTCAAGGTCGCGGCGGTCCCGTCTCGTCAGCGCCGCACCTGGGGAGGGCAGAGGAGGTGTCGGACGCGAGGCCGGGAACYCCCCGGGACCCCCGGGCCTCAGTGGGACTGGGCGCCTCGGCCCACGGCACCGCGGCCCACTCAAACCCGTCCGCGCAGCGGCTCCCTCACCCCGACACCGCTCGGGCCGGCCCGGTCCCTCCGGCCCGCTCGRCCAAGGGCGGGCGGCGGCCCGGGTACGCCGGGACCGCGGCGGAAGGGCGGATGGACCTGCCCTGAGGCCCGCGCCGCTGCCGGCGCCCCCCGCGCCCGGTGTCCCCATTCCCAGTGCCCTCGTTCCCGATGTCCCGGTGCCCCTCGGCCCCTCGCGGTCCGCCCCGGTGCCGCCGCTCACCGCCCGCCCCCGCCACGGGCCCCGCGCTCCCGACGCCATCTTCCCGCCGCGCCCGACGCACCGCACGCGTTGGATACGCCCACCGGGCGCGGGCCCCGCCCATCGCGACAGCCGCCACGCCCACCGGGGCCGGGATCCCGCCTGCATGCCTTGGTGGGCGGGGCCAGGCCGGGGTAGCCCGAGCGCTCATTGGCTACGCCGTGAGCGGGGCGTGGCCAGGGTGGCCGGGGGCTGGRGGCGCGTGGGCTCCGGGAATCAGAAACAGGGAAACGCTATACCGGGACCGACCGGAACCGGGTAACCCCGTACGAGCACCTCCCGGAACGAAGCACCCCCAGAAACCGGGAACCCCTCTAAGACAGTCGCCGTGCACCGGCTACCCGAGTGCTGGGGCTCCCGGCACCGAGAACCCCAATAGGGGCACCACCCGGAGCCGGGCGCCCGCTGGTCCAGGCACCCGTGTACTTGGCCCCGTYGTAACTGGCCACCCCTGTGCCGGGTAACCGGGTAGCAGGAGCCCCGACACCGGATAACCCTTGCACACTGCACCTCCCGAAACCGGGCACCCCTGTACMGAGACCTCACCAGAACCCCTCAACCAGCCCCCGTCCCCGGAACGGGCCGTCCCTGGCACTGGGTACCCGTGTACCAGATAACCTTGTACTGGGCACCCCTGCACCAGGTAAGCCTGTACCGGGCACGGCTCTGGCACGCGCACCGGCTACTGGGAACTACCACCGCCTCTGCACAGGGCACTGCCTGGCACCGGCCGTTGTTACCGGAGATTAACCTGGGCCCCAGCACACCTGGCCATGGCTCCGTGCCCCAGCCTGCCCGGTGGACCCGGCACAGTGGCCGCCTCAGCCCGGCTACCCCAGGAGGCCAGTGGGCACCCTGGGGACGCCACGTTGCTAGGACACGCCCAGTGTTGCAGGAGTCACTGGCTGGGTCCCCTTGAGGAGCCACACTTGGCAGCGGGGTAGGCGGCAGCACCTGCCAGGTGCTCAGGTACACAGGACCCCCTGGGCATCAGGACGCTCAGGATCCCCTCTGTGCAGGTGGCAGACCATCGGCTCCCTCCTGTCCTGCCACTGGGCCGGGCTCCAGCCCTGAAGCACCTCTGGACCCATGGCCACAGCGGGGGCTGGCACCRGCAGCAGCACTGGACATGCCACGGGGTGAGCAGGGCATGGCTGCCTCCTGTGGGGTTGGGGGTAGGGGCACGGCAGGGACCCCCTTGGTCCCACATGTGCTAGGGGGGCYGGCTGAGTCGGACCCACTGGCAGCTGGGGGCGAGTATGGGGCAGAGGGATTCCCAAATGGGGACGGGATGACCCCAGGTTCCCTCTGCACCCCACAGCCGCACTGCCACCCCCTGGAACTGGACCCTAGATCCCTCCGGGGACTGGTACTACAGGTGGATCAACCTCATGGCACTGCCCATCCTCTACAACTGGGTCGTCCTTATCCTCAGGTGCCAGGCAAGAGGGTTGGGGTGGTGCTGTGAGGTGTCCTGGCTCCATCCCAGTGACACCTCATGATGCCACCCGTACCCCAGGTGCTGCTTCCCCGAGGTGCAGGAGGCACACAAAGGGCTATGGCAGGGCCTGGACGGGCTCAGCGACACGCTGTACCTGCTGGACATCGCCGTGCAGCTCCACACAGGTGTGTGCACACACACAGACACAGAGACACACACACACACACACACAGACACACAGACACAGAGACACACACAAACACAGACACACAGACACGCAGGTGTGTGCAACACAGAGACAGACACCGACACATGGGTGTGTGCATACACACACACACGGGTGTGTACACACACACACACACAAGCACACAGACACACGTACACACAGGTTCACTCCCACCCAGTACAGCCATCACCCAGCCCCACACAGGGGTGGGTCTGGGTGGGTGATCACCCACTGCTGACCCTGTCTCAGCCCCATGGCAGCCCAGGAAACCACCAATGACATCCCTCAGGGTGCCCATGCAGGGTTCTTGYCCCCTGGGCCCCCCTGCGCCCCATGATGGACACTTACCTGGTCCCCAGTCTGAGCACCCTCCCATCACAGGGAGGTCCTAAGCAGCCCCTGCCCCTCAAACCCCACATCCCCTGTAGTGCCATGGCTCCTGTGGCTGCCCACTCAGGTTTCCTAGAGGACGGGATCCTGGTGCAGGACAAAAGTCGGACGCAGCGGCGCTATCTGGGTTCCTGGACCTTCCGCTGTGATGTGATGGCCGTGCTCCCCACTGAGCTGCTCTGTCTGCTCCCAGGGGTCCCAAGGGTCCCAGGGGTGCCAGCAGCACGTGTCAACCGCTGCCTACGGGTGCCGCGACTCTTCGAGGCCTTTGACCGGTGTGAGACACGCACAGGTTGGCCCAACGTGTTCCGCGTGGCCAAGCTGATGTTGTACCTGCTGCTGGGCATCCACTGGCATGGCTGCCTCTACTTCGCACTGTCAGCACACCTGGGGCTGGGCACTGACCCCTGGGTCTGCCCCAGCTTCCCCCAACTCTTGCGTCGCTACCTGCACAGCTTCTATTTCTCCACACTGGTCCTGGCCACAGTGGGTGACACGCCGGCACCGCAGCGTGAGGAGGAGTTCCTCTTCATCACTGCCGGCTTCCTCCTGGCCGTGCTGGGCTTCGCCACCATCACTGGCAACATCAGCACCGTCATCGTCAATCTCAGCGCAGCCGATGCCGCCTTCTACCCCGATGCGCGGCCGGTGCAGCGGTACCTGCGGGCGCGGGGCACGGGCGGGCAGCTGGCAGAGCGTGTGACGCGCTGGCACCGGCACCTGCGGGCACAGCGCAAGCTGCCGGTGGAGCAGGCGGTGCTGCGGTACCTGCCGCGGGGGCTGCGGGCCGAGGTGGCCGCCGGCGTGCACCTGCCGGCTCTGCGGCGCGTCGGGCTGTTCCGCGGCTGCGAGCACGGGGTGCTGCGGCAGCTGGTGCTGCACCTGCGCCCGCAGGTCTTCGGCCCTGGTGAGTTTGTGTGCCGGCGCGGCGACGTGGGCCGCGAGATGTACTTCATCCGCGAGGGCCACCTGGCCGTGGTGGCCGAGGACGGTGTCACGCAGCTGGCTGTGCTGGGCGAGGGGCTCTACTTCGGGGAGATCAGCCTCATCAACATCAAGGGTGAGCCCCGCACTGCGCCCCGATGCCATCCCGCGGTCCCCTTGAGCTCACGGYCCCCCACCCCACAGGGAACACGGCGGGGAACCGGCGCACAGCCAACATCCTGAGCATCGGGTACTCAGACCTATTCTGCCTGGGCAAGGAGGACCTGGAGGAGGTGCTGGCCGAGTTTCCCCGTGCCCGTGCTGCCATGGAGGCCAAGGGTCGGGAGCTGCTGCTGCGCATGGGCAAGCTCAACACCGGAGCTGAGGCAGCGGCAGCRGCGGCCGAGGCTGAGGCTGAGCAGCGGCTGCAAGGGCTTGAGATGGCCCTGGAGGGGCTGCAGACACGGGCAGCCCGACTGCTGGCACAGCTGGAGGCCAGCACCCTGCGCATGGCCCTGCGCATCCAGCGCCTCGAGGGGCGGCTGCACCTGCAGCACCAGCGATGGGACAGAGCAGCCGGGACAGCTGGGGCAGCCGGGACAGCTGGGGCAGCAGGAGGCACTCAGGCACAGTGGCCTGCCAGGGTACACCGGGACCCACCCAGCATACCGGGTTCAACCACGGCGCATCGTCCCCTCAGGGAACAGGGTCCCTCCAAGGCGCAGGGTGCCCCCAGGGCACMGGGTCCTGCACAGGGACCAGGTCCTACACGAGGATGGGGTCGCCCTGGGGTGGCGAGGGTCCCCTGGAGCGCGCCTCCTTCCAAGGCACAGGGCCCTCTCAGGTATCAAGGTCKCCACAGACCACTGGATCCCAGCAGCATTCAAGGTCCCCCCAAAGCACATGATATCTCCATGGCACGGGGGGCCCCCAGGGCACAGAGTTACATTGGGACACGAGATCCCAGTGGCACGTATRGTTCCAGGGGGGCACGGGCTCCCCACAGGGCACAGGGTCCCTCTGGGTCACAGAGTCCCRGAGGGGCGCACAATCCCTCCGGGGCTCGCGGTTCCACGGCGGTTCGGGGTCCCATGAAGGGTGAGGATGCCGCGGGACTAATCCCGCGGTGCTGAGGGGTCACCTGGAGGGGGACACAGCCGCGACAACTGTCGTCGGGGGGACAGGGACAGGGACGGGGAAGGACCCGGGATGCAGATGCGTCAGGGTGATGGAGTTGCCGGGTTGGAGACCCGATTCCGGAGCCGGGAGCAGCTCACGATCCCGGGCCCTTCCGAGTAGTCCCGGGGTCCGCCTCAGGGACATAGTGAAAGACACCATGCTGACGGCGGCCGTAGTCGCCCGGCGGCGTAGAATCGCTCCCGGCGAGCCCCTCAAGCTCCCCGGCCCGCCCGGGACTCCGGCTGAAGCCCTCGCTCCCGGTACTCTCCATGGCYCAGCCCGTTCCCCCGACCCTGGGCTTCCCCTGTTCCCGCCTCCCCCGCGCCCCCCAGCAAGCCCCAGGCTCCCCCCGCCGCCGCCACCGCCCCCCGCCCCTGGCCCGCCCCGCGCCGGGCGCCGCCTCCGCTTATCCACCGGCGGCTCCGAGCGGAGCGGAGCCTCGTCCCTCCCGGAGCCTCCCGGTGCCTGATCCTTCCCGGTGCCTCCGGCCGGAGGGCGGGCGGGGGGCGCGGGGGGCTCCCCGCCATGGACCCCCGCCCCCTCAACGAGTCGCTGCAGGAGCTGCTCTGCCGCTCCGGGAACGGCGTCGGGAACGCACCCGGCACCGGGAACGGGACAAACGGCTCGGTCTGCGACCTCGTACGTAGGGGCCTCCGCGGGCCCCCGGCGCCCAGAGGTGAGAGCGAGGGGAGCGGGGGGAAGCAGGAGGGGGATGGACCCGGGGAGGGCCCCGCCGTGCCCAGCCCTGAGCCCCCGAACACGCCAACATCCCGCTTCGTCCCGCCGTGTCACCCCGGTACCCGCCGCCCCGCGCTCCGGTTCTCCGGTCTCTGACCGGTGCCGCCCCCATTCCCCGCCGTGCCCCTCATCGCACGCATCATTCCCCGTCCCCGCATCCCGGGCGGGGGCTCGGTGGCCCCGGCACAGCCCGGTGGTCCCGGAACGGATCTCGGCGCTGCCTGGAGGAGACACGCCGGGCTGTGCCCGCGGCAGCAGGAGGGCGGTGGAGACTCCGACAGGGACACCACAGACACCGCCCGCCCCGCACCCCTGCCCCACTGCCGGGGCCGGGACCTCCAATCGCTCCCTCGACTGGGACGCCCCCATCCCACCTCCATGGCCAAGACCCCCAGCCCCATCCCGCCGCCCCGGCTGGGCTCCCCTAGTCCCGCTTGTCATTCCGCTCTCTGRGCTGGACGACCCCGGTCACGTCCCCGCGCCGCCGGAGGCGCCGCGGATCAGCACGGAGGCGGAGGGTGGGCAGGATGGGGGCACCCACCCGGATGAGGTCCCCACCCTCACGGAATGGAGCCGGGGAGCGTGGGGCTCGCCCCATCTGCCGGCGGCTGCCGCACGGGGTAACCGATGCACTCATCTGGCGGGTCCCCAYCGAGCCCCCGCCGGTCACGCTGGAGCCCCGGTGTCCCAGTGCCTGGACCTGTGCTGGGGTGCCTTTGGGGTGCCTTCAGAGTGTCCCTGGGGTGCTACCAGAATACCCTTGGGGTGCCATGGGGGTGTCTCTACGGTGTCTTCCGGGGTGCTTTCAGAGTGCCTCTAGAGTGCCACCTGGGTGCCTCTGGGGCGCCCTTGTGATGYCTCTGGGGTGCACCCGGGGTCCCAATGCAGCATCAGTGCCCTGCTGCCCACAGAGCTGGATGTGGCGGTGCGTGTGGTGCTGTACGCGCTGATCTTCGTGTTGAGCGTTGGGGGCAATGCGCTGGTGGTGGCCGTGCTGGCGCTGAACCGGCGACTGCGCACCGTCACCAACTGCTTCCTGCTGTCCCTGGCGCTGAGTGACCTGCTCCTGGCACTGTGCTGCATGCCCTTCACCCTGCTGCCCGGCCTCATGGGCGCCTTCATCTTTGGCGATGTCGTCTGCAAACTCGTCGCCTACCTCATGGGTAGGGTGGAGCACAGCGGGGGCTTGTCCCTGCCTCATGGGTATGGGGGGACACGGGGTGGGGGGCTCATCCCTACCTTGTGGGTACACGGAGGCACAGGGAAGGGGCACATCCCTACCTCGTGGGTATGTGGGGGTCTCATCCCTATCTCATGGGTACATGGAAAGCAGTGGGGGACTTCGGGAGGAGGTGGGGGCCAGCAGTGTCATGCCACGCCCACTGACACCCCCTGCTACCCGCAGGTGTCTCAGTGGCCGTGTCCACCTTCAGCCTGGTGGCCATCGCCATCGAGCGGTACAGTGCCATCTGCAACCCGCTGCAGTCGCGCGCCTGGCAGACGCGGTCCCATGCCTGCCGCGTCATCGCGGGCACCTGGGCTCTGGCAGCGCTGCTCATGTTGCCCTACGCCGTGTACAGCACCACGCGCCCCGCGGCCCCCCGCCCGCCCCCCGCCCAGTGCACACACCACTGGCCCAGCGAGCGCGTCCGGCAGGTTTGGTGAGTCCTGGGGGACGGAGGGGGAACGCAGTGGTAAGGGGATGACAAGTGACGGGGGCCACCTATCCCAGGTACGTCCTGCTGCTCCTCGTCCTCTTCTTCATCCCAGGCGTGGTGATGACGGTGGCGTATGGGCTCATCTCCCGCGAGCTCTACCGTGGCATTCGCTTTGAGCTGGACATCAAGAGGGAGGTGGCAGGTGAGGGGATGGGGTAGGGATGGCACTTGGTGTGACCCCGGCACRGGCAGAGTGCCCACTCCAGAATGAGAGGGAGGGCTGAGCCCTCACCCCTGCTTTCCACAGTGGTGTGGTCCTCAGGGACACCCCTCTTGTCTGGGGCCCTCCTTGTAGCCTTGGGGTACAGCATSTCCCCATGGTGCCACGTCCATTTTCATGTCCCCTGCATGCCATCGCACCCCTCCTGGAGGATGCCTCCATGTTGTTGGGGTGCAGCATATCCTTACAGTGTCATGGCCGTGACCGCACCTCCTCACTCCACAGCCCAGCACGGTGTTGGGAGGGACCCAGTGCCTGCCTGTGACGAGGGCGATGGGTGCTACCTGCAGCTGTCCCGTCCGGGTGCAGCGCTGGAGCTGCGGGCGCTGGGAGCGGCAGTGCAGCAGGACCGGGCGCGCATCAACAGCTCCGGGGCCCAGCTGGCGGCCAAGAGACGTGTGATCCGCATGCTGGTGGTCATCGTGGCCATGTTCTTCTTCTGCTGGCTGCCCATCTTCGCCGCCAACACCTGGCGTGCCTTTGCCCCGCGGGCGGCCCAGCGGGCACTCTCGGGGACCCCCATTGCCTTCATCCACCTGCTCTCCTACACCTCGGCGTGCACCAACCCCCTCATCTACTGCTTCATGAACCGCCGCTTCCGCAAGGCCTTCGGGGCCACCTGCGCGGGCTGGCGGTGCTGCCGTGCCTGCCCCCGTCGCCCGCCCGAGGATGAGCCCCCCGTAGCCAGCGCCTCACTCTCCAAGTTCAGTTACACCACTGTCAGCAGCCTGGGCCCCCCCTGAGCCAGGACCTCTGAGCTGGCAYCCCCAACCTGAGCTGGGAACATCCCGAGCCTCACCCCCCTGTAGTGGGAACCCTCTGAACCCCCCTGGCCAGCACCTCGCTCTCCAAGCTCAGCTATGCCACCGTCAGCAGCCTGGGATGCCCCTGAGCTGAAACACCCCTGAGCCCACCAACACCAGMGCCTGGGGCCCCTGTGAGCTGGACCCCCGCGAGTCCCCTATGGCCAGCACCTTGCTTTCGAACTTCAGCTACACCATTGTCAGCAGCCTAGGACCCCTGAGCTAGACCCCCTTAAGCCCCCTAACATCAATGCCTAGGCCCGCCCCCCCCCCAGGCTGGACACCCTCAGCAGGATCTCCCCGAGCATGAACCCCACTCTGCCTCCCCCGGGCACTGCCAGCACCCCCTGCGCCCCTTTCCAGTGCCTCCCAGATCAGGGCACCTCCAGTTTCCCGCCCTACCGGGACACCCTYACCCACCACCCCCTGCCCAGTCCCAGTGCCCCCGAGTCCCCGGCTGGGCTGGGGCGAGGGGCTGGGCGGGAGGACCCTCGGGGCTGGGCAGGTCAGAGGCTGAGGGAGGTCGAGGCACCCCCAGCCCTGCCAGCCCAGCCCGGGGTCTCCCTGCGCTGCTCCCTGACTACGGTCACAATAAACTGACCCCGTGCCCACTGGCGCCGCTGCTCCCACCGCTCCTGCCCGGCCAGCACGGGGGACGCTCCACGGGGCAGCTCCGGGGGGGACGCGGGGTCGGCACCGCGCAGCGCTCGGCCGGGAGCTGCGGCATGGGACCCGCCGCTGCGAGGACTCCTGAGCCCGGCGGCGGCAGTGGCTGGAGGAATGGGACCCCCGGGTCCGGTGCACCGAACKCCGCCCCGGGGCTGTGACCGTACGCAGGGGAGGACTCCAGGGAGCACCGCCGTCCCCCAGAACTCCATCCCCCATAATGTCCCGCGCGCCCCACACAGGCCCGGCCCCTTGGCGCGCATGTACCGCCCCTCCCCGTGCGGTCACGCCCATCTCCGTATAGCGCCGCTGGCTATTGGYCGCGCCCCTCRTGYGGCCACGCCCATCTCCGTATAGCKCCGCTGRCTATTGGCCGTGCCGCTCTCGCGACCACGCCCCCGGCGCGCTCTTCCGCGGGCTTCAGGCCCCGCCCCTCAATTCGGCTCCGCCCCGTTCTCTGCCTGGCCCCGCCCCGCCCGGTCATGACTGCCGGCGCTCGGGCCCCGCCCCTGGCTGTGGCTCCGCCCCGCTCCCCTCAGCCATGGCCGCTGCGGTTCGGGCCCCGCCGGGGCCGATGGCGCGGTCGCTGTCGTTGTCGCGATCGCTGCTGCTGTCTCTGGCTGCGCTGTCGCTGCTGTCGCTGCCGTCGCTGCCGGTGTCGGCGGGGTCGCTGCCCGACCCCGGGGAGCAGCTGCTGTCGGCGGCGCTGCGCTGGAGCTGGCGGAACGTGTCGTGCCCGGCCTGCCGGGTGCTCTTCGGGGCGCTGGACCTGGCGCTGCAGGTGGGAAGGGGGCACTCGGGCAGTACCGGGACAACGGGGGGCACCGGGGGGACACCGGAACACCGGGCGAGGCACGGGGATGAGTGGACGCCGGGATATGCCAGGACAGGGAGAGCGAGGGCGGCAGGAATGGGACAGGAGCGGGGACAGAGGAGAGGGGACGGGACGGGAAGGGACGGGTCAGTTACAGGGACAGGGCCAGAGCAGAGACAGGCCGGGCCTGTCCCTCGTGACGGGCCTGAGCCGGGACAGGCTGGGACAGGTCGGGGCAGGTCGGAGCTTGTGACAGACACGAGACCAGGATGGGAATGGGGACAGGGACGGGCTGGATTAGGGACGGGCGGGGACGGGGAGAGTGACAGGCTGGGACGGCTAAAAGAGGAACGGAGCCGGGGACGTGAACAGACCGGGACGGGTTGGTGAATCCGCCCGAGACGACGGGGACAGGCTGGGGCGGAGACAGGAAGGAAGAAATGAAGGAGGGAACCGAGGCGGTGGGGGACCGTGTGCGTCCATTCTGGCCTCGGGATATCCAGCTGAGTGGGCCAGGGTGACCGGCGATTGTGGGACAGTGACAGCAGCCAGGGGTCGATCCCGGGGAGCTGGTGGGCGCGGCACAGTGATGGCAGCTGGGGTGCCGTGCCCGTCCCGGGGGGTGTTGGTGGGCACAGGCCAGCTGTAGCAGCCGGAGTTCAGGGTGTGGGGTCTGTCCTGGGGAGCTGGTTTTGCAGGGCCGTGAGCATAGCTCAAGAGGTGTGGGGTGCTGGGACCATCCCAAGTGTCCATCCCCCTGCAGCTGGAGCCGAATGTGGCACGTGTGGGGAGCGTGGCATCGCGGCTGTGCCAGAAGCTGCGGCTGGCTCGGCCACCCGTGTGCCGCCAGGCCGTACAGCTGTTCCAGGGCGATGTGGTGGCCGCCTGGGCACGCTCGGTGCTGCGACCGCCCGAAGCCTGCGGGCTCCTGCTGGGCTCCCGCTGTGGCCACTGGGACATCCTGGGCGCCTGGAACCTGTCCCTGCCCGCCGCCCCCAAGCCACCGGTGCGGCCCCCCGTGCCACCACCGCCTGGAGCACCCACCGCCCGCATCCTCTTCCTCACCGATCTGCACTGGGACCGTCAGTACACGCCGGGTAGTGCTGCTGCCTGCCCCGACCCGCTGTGCTGCCGCGGGGCCCCCCGTGACGGGCCAGGGGCGGCGGGTTTCTGGGGCTCCTACAGCAAGTGCGACCTTCCCCTGCACACCATCGACGCGCTGCTGGCCCAGCTGCCCAACGCCACCAGTCACACCAGTAACAGCACCGGCGGCTTTGCGGCAGCGTACTGGACTGGGGACATCCCTGCACATGACGTGTGGCAGCAGAGCCGTGGGGACCAGCTGCGGGCGTTGCGCACGGTGACAGCCCTGCTACGCACCCGCCTTGGGGGGCTGCGCGTCTTCCCAGCCGTGGGCAACCACGAGGCCACGCCGGTGAACGCCTTCCCCCCGCCCTACGTGCATGGGAACCGGTCGGCCGCGTGGCTCTACGACGCCATGGCCGAGGCCTGGCAGGGCTGGCTGCCCCCCGCTGCCCTGCACACCCTGCGGTGGGCATGGGGCAGGGTTCGGGGSAGAGGTGAAGGGCTCCCAGCTGCTGAGGGCCCAAGGATGGGGAGTTCGTGGATTGCAGGGGTAGGAGGGTGCAGTGGTAGGGGTTCTGAGCTATTGGGTGCCTGGTCCGTGGCATTTGGTTGTACCAGGGATCAGGGGGCACAGRGCTGGGAGGGCCCACACTGAATGGCTCTGGGCTGTCAGGTGCTCTGGAGTAGGGGAGTCAGGGTAGCATAGACTGGGTGGCTCAGAGCTGGGGTCTGTAGATTACTGGGGGCTCAGGATTAGCAGGACACAGAGGGGTTTCCATGCTGTGCTCCACTGGAGGGGCAGTGGGGGTGCCAGCCGAGCTGGGGCTGAGTGCATATGTCTCAGTTTCATGCGGGGAGAGAGGTGCAAGGAGGGTGGTCATGGCTGGTTGAGGTACAGAGGCCTGTGGGGGACAGGGGCAACGGGGGCTCCAGGCTGGGGGCTGTAGGCAGATGGGCAGTGTGGGTGGCAGAGAGCTGGGGGTCCGTGGGATGGGTGCAGGGTCTGTGGATCAGGAGACACAGCACTAACCCCCTTTTTCCCCCAGGGCTGTGGGTTCCACACAGCTCATCAGGGTGTGGGCGTCCATGGGGCAGGGCATCACAGCACTGACCCCTCTTTTCCCCACAGGGCCGGCGGGTTYTATACGGCACAGGTCTGGCCTGGGCTGCGCCTCGTCTCGCTCAACATGAACTTCTGCTCCCAGGCCAACTTCTGGCTCCTCATCAATGCCACTGATCCTGCAGGGCAGCTCCAGTGGCTCATGGGGGTCCTGGCAGATGCTGAGCGTGATGGGGAGAAGGTGGGGGAGGGTTGTGGGGGGACATGGGGGGTCCCGATGGGCCCTGGGCAAACCCCCAGCCCTGCCTCCCTGTCCACAGGTGCACATCATCGGACACATCCCCCCGGCCCACTGTCTGCGCAGCTGGAGCTGGAACTACTACCGCATCATCAGCAGGTCAGTGCCTGACCCCTGGCCCAGACCCCCACACCATGTGCCCCACTCCACATGCCAGACCTCCACACTGTTCTCTGGACWCCAACCCCACATGCTGGACCCCTGCCCTGCCCACTAGACCCCTGTCCACACGTCCTTGATCCCCACACCAGAACCCCACTCCACAAGCCAGAGCCCAGCTCCACACCCTGAACTTTCACCCCACACATGGGACCCCTGCCCTGTATGCTGGACCCCTACACCAGACCTCCACCCTGCACCCTGGACCCTCACTCCATGTGCCAGACCTCTGCCTGCTTGCCCTGGACTGCCATCTCATGCACCAGACTGTCCAGCCCATGTGCCAGACCCCCACCCCACATACCAGATGCCCAGGGCCAGGCTCGTGTTGGGGTTCCAGACTGGGGGGTCTGGGGATTGGGATAACATTCACCACTCAGCCTATTGTGGCAGGTTCGAGGGCACCATCGCGGCCCAATTCTTCGGGCACACGCACCTGGACGAGTTCGAATTGTTCTACGATGAGGAAACACTGTCACGTCCCGTCTCCATTGCCTTCGTCGCACCAAGTGTCACCACCTACATCAACCTCAATCCCGGTGCGCCCAAACTCCCGCTATGTGTCCCCCCAAACAACTCCAATCCCTCTGGTGCTGACCGTYCCTCCTGTCACAGGGTACCGTGTGTATGAAGTGGCCAGTTCCTATCCCGGGAGCTCCCACGCGGTGCTGGACCACGAGACCTTCATCCTAAACCTCACAGAGGCTAACGCGGCTCCCCCGGGGACTCCTCCGCGCTGGCAGCGGCTTTATCGCGCGCGCGAGGCCTACGGGCTGCCCACGGCCTTCCCGGCCGACTGGGACCGGCTGGTGCGGCGGATGCAGGACGACGAGCCGCTCTTCCAGCAGTTCTGGTTCCACCTGCACAAGGGGCACCCACCCCGCGAACCCTGCGGGGGCCCCTGCAAGGCCGCCCTGCTCTGTGCCCTGCGCTCTGGCCGTGCTGCTGACCCCACGCTCTGCCGGCCCCTGCGCCCCACGCTGCCCTTTGCACGCATCCAGGAGCTCTGGCACCAGCGGCGACTCTGCTGACCCAGGGGCTGACAGGAGCGGCAGCTGGGATATGGTCACGCCAAGAGCAGAGTCAGCATGTGGTCTCACTGGAAGCAAGGCTGGGACACGGTTACACAGGGAGCGGGATCGCAGTCACCACATGGTCATGGCAGAAGYGGGGCTGGGAGCAGGATTGGCACAAGGTCATACTGGGAGCAAGGTCACGACTGGCACATGGTCCCCATGTCTCACTAGTTGCACAATAAAGGCACAATGGACCCTACCACCCCTCCTTATCCTCACCCACCAGGACTGGAATTGGGATCAGGATCAACACATAGTCCTCATACTCCCATCACCCCCCCAGTGCAGGTGTGATAGACTCCACTCTCCTTCATCCTCCTCACCACAATTCTCAGCCCACAACAACCTAGGGACACCCAAATCAGGGATGCTGAGATCCCACCACCCCACCTCCTTCTCCTAATTCTCATCCACTGGGATCACAACTGGCATCAGTCCACGGTCCCTGTGCTCCCATCACTCCTCCAGTTAAGGTGTGGATGGACCTCACCACCCCTCTTCATGCTCCTCCTCAYTCTGCAGCACCC